CCCTCCAGCTACCACCCGCATGAGGTCAACACATATGCTCCACCAACCAATACAATGGCAGATATAGCCAATAGGCAGTTATAAGATAATATTAATAATTCGCCATCAGAAAGGGTTTGTGTCACTGACGTTGAGTATATGCATTTTTCGATCATGTTTGTCTCACTCACCAACAAGTTGCCTTCAATCTCTCAAAGGTGGGAACTTTATAGAGATATATTATTAAGTTGTTATATAAAACATCATGGAGGGCAGACAGTCTGCAGCCCCGCTATGAAGGGACCCGACTTGGGCAAAGCTACTTAGGTTGTGAGTCAAACCAAGACGCAGAGAGCGCCATTGAGAATAGCGACCCGCCAAACAACCATCGTAGAGACGCAATGCTACAGAATGCAACAAGCATCAATACGACTATCGTCGGGCTTACACCATCCCAAGGTCCCCCATACAGTCCCAGCAGACATCACCACCCGCATACCTCCATCGACCAGAACCACAAGATGCGTCGAATCAGGTGCAGCACACCCGCAGATCCATCACAAGACACAATACTGCAAGTAGCAGTAAGCATCAATGCAACTATCATACGGATGGCGCCCCCTCACAACACACCCACTTGATCCCTATCGACTTTGGTAACAAAATTTGATAATGTTGTTAACTAAAAATACCACCAACGTATCATAGTAGTACGGTACTAAGACGTCAGTAGCCAAAACTCCACGTATCATAGCGCTATTGCACTAAGACATGAAGTTGAGTATGCTTGCTGCACTTAAAAGTACTACCAAACACACTCACCCTAATCCGAAAGATAGCCGACGTATCATAACGCTATGCGCTAAGACGACGCCCACAACCGGTAGGGGTGTGCGATGTTCACGGGCAAGTCGTATTGCTACAACAAACCCGCTTACCACCGGCACCGGTGAGTCCAAGTTTACCTCGGTCTCAGAGGCTGCGAAGCAACCTACACGCCACTATAATAATCCTTTTCAAGTCCCATCTCTTTCAATATAATGCTTTTACATATTTGAGACCTTCCACATATTTGCTTTATTTCATAGACCATACTACTGTATGTCTTATTCATATGGGACTTCAAGTCATAACTCTGCTATCATAATGCTTATGCATCATAGAGACCTTCTATATTAATGCTTTGGTTCGTCAGACCTTACTATGTTAAGTCCCTAATATAGGACTAGTCATTGTGCAACCTTAGTACTAGCAGTCGGTCAGCCGACCACCCCATATATATGTACGACCTTGGGTATGTGTCTCCGACAACGCCCCAATATAAGGGAACATTACAAGAACACGTTCATTAACTTGAAATTTTCCAATTATTACACGAACACCTTCATCAACTTAGAAAATTTTAATCCATTTTTTCTATTATATTACAAATGTTATTTATCTTTGTTATTGCAATATAATCGCCTTGTATTTATATGATTTGATACATTTTGAACATTTTAAGCAGGTTTTTAATAAATTTAGAGATTTTTAGAGACATTTTATGCGTTTACTTAATATATATAATATTCAATATTCCAAATGGATATTTTTGAACTCTATTTGCATTTTATTGTTTAAATTATAATTTCTAAGACATTTTTAAATGTCTGTATAATGAATTTAATTATTATTTATTAATAATAATTATGAGGCGTCACAAGAGGATTCAACGTCTCTTTCTCATTAAAAAGGGTCCCTAGATTCTAGTCTCTCCCCGCCGAACGCCCACTGCGGATGTGCGTTGGTGGGCTGCGGCGAAATGGGTGGCCTCTCTTCCTACCACTGCAGCTGAGGTGAAGTCGCGGGTGACGAGAAGTGTTGGTATGGTGATGCGCCACTCGCTCTATTCTCCGCGACTCTGGTGGGGCCGCGGAGGGAGAGAAGTGTCGGTATTGCGAGGCGCAGCTCTCTCTACCCTCTGTAGCCGAAACATGGAACATTGTTGGCGTTGAAGTCACAGACCAGATCCTCCGCTGGGATCAGGAACGCTGGTGCTTCCGATGGAACGGTCGGCGCTGGTGCGGCTGCGAATGCGAGCGAAAGCGTTCCCATGGCCCTGCCAATATGCGTCGACCATAGAACACCATGGGCTTTATGTTCGATGCGAATCCGACAAAACCCGTCCTTGTCCCCTTGTAGCGCGTACACGTAGACATTTCCCATGTAAAAAAAGGGTCAAGTCTCTACGGGTCTAGGGTAAGCTGTTGTTTTACGCTGGTATTCTGTGAGAGCGTAGTCCTTCCCTGGTCAAGCCAACCCATTCGTGCTACAACCACAATATGGCTACAGCATGACTCTATCATGTTAAAAACATTTTGGTAATGATTTCTTATATTTACGCGAACACTACACATTTTTAAATAAAACTAATTTTACGGATTTTATATAGGATATAACGTCGGGAATATAAAAATAAGTTAATATACGCGATAAAATCCGTAAAATAAGTTTTATTAAAAAAAAAACATTTTGCTAACTTTTAGCAATTTTAATATTTAATTTCCGCAATTAATATAAAAAGCTGGCCAAGTGTCGGGTCACGCACAATGTAGAGGTACGGTTCCGTAGTTGCCTGTCACTATACGTGGGCTTTCTTGATAATGAGCAAAGTGGTCCGAGAGCTCATGACGCTTATTCATGAAGTTTTTGATGCACCATGAAACTTTGTTGAAACGTATCAATCCACTCAATAAGCAGGTATATATGACTGTTTGCCTGGGCTACCTGGTTACGCACATAGGCACCTAGTGCACATATAGGTAAGTCGCAAAAAAATCACCCAAAAAGTATTTGATTAAAATGATAGTAGATAAGTTTATAAACCATTAATTACAGGGGCAATCTACCTACCCCAAAGTTGTATTTTCAAAACTTCCAAAAAAAGTGTATGATTTAATCTGCTATTTTTACAGCATGTTTATAATATACAATAAATAATTCTCACGAAAGGGCGGACTGTTTCTCCGGGGGTTGATTGTTTAATATATTTACATAGGTAAATCTTGCGTGGACAAGAGACAAATGTGCTACGGATTGTAATGAGCGCACAGAAAGCGACGGTCGCCATGTGCCCTTAGTCATCTTGGACACGTGATGTTGGACAGATCAGAATGATCTGTCCAACATCTGATCTGTCCAACATCATGTGTCGGCTCCGGTATTGACGGCTCCGTGGCGCAGTGGCTTAGCAATCAGTTGTTGCGCTGGGGGCCGCGGGTTCGAATCCCGCACGGAACAAGTATTTGTATGGCCTACAAATAATTGTTCCGGGTCTGGATGTTTGTCCTTGTGCAATTTATGTTTGTAAACTGCCTCCACGACACAAGAGAAAATCCTAGTGTGGGGGTAATGTTTTTTAAAAAAAGAACAAAAAAAAAACTCAGTGACCGCCAGTACGGGTTTCGCCGAAATCGATCAACTGGGGACCTTCTAGCTTATGTGACTCACATATGGGGCGAAGCCCTCGAGAATAGTGGTGAAGCACTGGCTGTTTCCCTCGAGTTTCGAAGACCTTTGACAGGGTTTGGCACGCTAGTCTATTGGGCAAGCTTTCAGCGTAGGGCTTATTCCCTGGCCTGATTGTCTGGGTGAATGGCTTTCTGAGTGAACGATCTCTCCAGGTCGTCGTTGATGGCTGCTCATCCGATACTGTGGCGACTAACGCCGGTGTTCCTCAAGGGTCCGTTCTCTCCGCAAATCTCCTCATGCTGCATATGAATGATCAGCTCATTCCCGGTATCTATGGGTAAGCCGACGACAGCACAGTTGTGGAGAGATACCAACCGAGCGTCCGGGCCAACCGGGATCAAATCCAGTCAGAAATAGAGGCTATGGTTGAGCGTGTGAGTTTCACACTATAGGCAGTTTTCGAATGGGGCGATACCAATCTCGTGAATTTTAACGCCTCCAAAATACAAGCGTGTCACCGCTAAAAGGATCCCGCTCACCCTGGCTCCTACTTTCTGGAATGTATTCTTGGCGTACATTGACCCCCTTCAGTTGTTAGGGGTTGAATTTTCTCCGAACCTCAACTATGGGCGGTTCATCTATGGGAGTCCAGGGCTAAAACAGCCGCAAGGAAACTTGGTGTCCTTGCAAGGGCGCGGCGGTATTTCATGCCGGGGCAACTTCTTACCTTATATAAAGCGCAAGTCCGGTCGTACATGGAGTACTGCTGTCACATATGGGCTGGTGCTGCAAAATGCCACCTACACCAGGTAGCATTGGACTTAGTGGAGGGACATACTAAGAGGCTCACTGGTGACTTTGATTTGATTGAAACCAATCTTGTCAACCTCGAGTACAGGCGCAGAGTTGTCAGTCTCTCGGTATTCTATAGGATGCATTTCGGTGAGTGTGCGCAGGAATTACACGCTTTAATTCCTCCCTCTCCTTTCCACCATCGGACGACCATGTGGGATTGTGGTCAAGCAATGGTTTATAATAAGTAAAAAAAAAGTTATATTGCAACTAGTTTTAGGTTATTTTATATGGAGTTGTAACTAAAGTTTTACTAATCCAAGTGCATTTTATAAATTAATTGGTCGACTATTACTCCTTAACTTCTTAATTCTACTTAGCTGTGATAGTTTTCCGCCGATTCGCCGGAGCAGGCGAGGTTCGTACTGCTCCAGTTGCCAGCACTTTGTCTGCAGCTGATTGATTTTGACTTTATTAATCTTTACAATGGAGGCGTAGGTTGTCAATCAGTGATTATAATAGTTCGGGATCTTACTTGAGTTGCTTTCCTCAGTGTCTACGCAATAATTTTATGTAATAACGTAATATTTTTATCTTTATTACACTGTTCGAAAAAGTTTGATTAATCTCTGCGATACGAGAGTGATAGTGAGAGTGAGCGCAAAACATTTTTATTTCATAATATATTCGTGTTTGGTGAGCGTCAACACATCAACCCACAGAACACTAGCTCAGTCTTTACTTGACTTTCGTTCCACGTGTTCAGGTCCTGCGCTAAGATGACGAATCACTCGTTGCAATCTCTGTTAAGTGAATCTCCACATCTTGGACATGTGTTTGTTGATTGTATGAGAAGGAACCCGGACTCTATTTGTCAGGTCAGTTATTTCGCGGCATGACATTTTTAAGCTACATGGCATAAGTTCTCTATAATAAGTCAAAACCATAAAACCTGAGTAAAAAGCTTTTTTATAAGCTGCATTCTCACCGTTGAATAGCTATGGTGAAAATGAAATTCTGAATGACTTTATATAAGAAAAATGTACCTATTTTTTTTTTATAGAATTAGGGTGACAAATGAGCACACAATCCACCTGATTGTAAGTGGTTGCTGCCGCCCATAGACATCTACGTCTATCTTCGTTTACGAATAAAAATGTAGATGCGTTGTCAGCCGTGAGAACTAAGATAGAATGCCTCTTTTCCAGTAAAATAGGTCTCCGGTTCTCTACACTCACCATACGAAACACAGCAGCGTTACGCTGCTATTTTACGCTGGTATTCTGTGAGCTGTCTTTCCCCGGTCGAGCCGACCCATTCGTGCTACAACTATACTATTAATAAAGCTGCAGCATGGCTCTACCACGTAACAAAAATAACCTAATAATCTAGGATGTGATTTTTTTATTAGTTTTAAATTATTTTAGAGCATACCATTATAGCAGAGATATACCATTATAACGGTTTTTATTATTTCTATCTCTAACAGCCTAACACCATGCGTTCAGATATTTACTACTGTTGTATGTACTACTGATAAACCACTCAAGTTAATCGATTTATTATTTAAATATTTTATAAAACTGTCTTCGATTGTCCTTGCCGATTCTATTTGCACCGTGATATTACCAAAGAAAACACTACAAGTTTCAGACATAATGATGTAAAGAGTTTTCTATTTAATTTCTCGCTTTTTTTGACTGTTACCAAAGTTTTATCTTTTCTACCATCAAAGTAAAGACCAGCGGGGTTAGTCAATATGACTGACGTTTTCTTTAATGCTATAGAATTCTATAAAAATAAATGAGAATGACATAATGTCTGAACAATAAAACTTGCGTAATATTTTATTTATTTTATAGTTTTCTATAGCGTTAAGTAGGTATCGTTAAATGGTGTTGATTTTAGGAATAATTACATGTACGTAAATTTATAGAGGTTCAAAAAAGTTTAAAAGTACTTCAGCTATACGTTTCGCAAACCGTGGATCGTTTTTGTACCGTGTAGTGACGGTTATGAATATCCACTAACCATATCGTACCATGGGTATCGTAAGAGGCAGCAGAGGGAAACAAACTAAGAAATGTGCAGCAGGATCTACCTAATAATAACTAAAAAAAAAAAAAAAACTGCGGTTGCCAAATTGCCTGCCAAGTGTGGCTTCGCAATTACGCATTCTGAGGTTATTAAATGACAAAATTACATATAAATAGCCTTTAAAAGTGTGAAGTCATCGACGTCTGAATAAATTACTTTTTTATATTAAAAAAGTCGGCAACGACATGAATCAATGTAATTAATGTAACGTCGTCTGTGGCTAGTGCTAGAAATAAATTCAGACATTGAAACATAATAGGTATTCGTTTTTCTTAACTTTGAACTTAAATAATTTAAAAAAAAATGCTAGTTTATCTACTGAATTGTGGGTACCTATCTATTAGGTCAAACCACCTACCAAAAACCAGTTAATTTAAATATTTTGTATAAACATTTAATTGATCTTTTACTAGCAACTGAAGTATGTCATACAAGTAAGAGAAGGAATTAAAGGAAAAATAATAGATTATGGTGGGATAATGAGCTACGGATGGAAGTCGAAGCAAAGAAGAGAGCATGGCTAGATTTATTAGCAATCAAAGCTGGTAATTCTGGCGGTATGGGTGATGAGATTGAAATAAAAAAGGCAATATTTAGACGTCTCAACAAGAGAGTAAAAGAAGTAGTTGTAAGGATAAAGCAAGAAAGAATGGATAAGAATGATAGAAGAATATATGATGATTTCCAGGCAAATACTAAAATGTTCTCAAAACTCGTAAGAACTGGCAGAGGAAAACGGAAAAAATCAAAATAGCCTAGAATGAATGGTATACAAAACGAGAATGGCGGTATTCTGAATGACAAAGTTTTGATTTTAAAGAGATGGAAGGAATACTTTGAAATCGTGTTTATGAGTGAGGAGACGTTAAAATTAAATGAACTAGAAATTTTGAAAGAAGAAAAACGAAGTATGGAGATAAGTATAGATGAAATAATGAAAGCAATAAAAAGCATGAAAGCAGATAAGGCAGATAGAGTATCACTCGAAATGCTAAGGGATGGAAAGGGATTGGTGGCAGGCCTGCTGTACACTTTTTTAATTTATCTTGGGAACTGAAGCGGGTACCGTCCCAATATATAAGGGAAAAAGGGTCACAGCAGGACTGTAAAAAATACCGTGGTATCAGCCTGCTTAGCACTGTGGGAAACTGTATGCTAAGGTAATAATTGAAAGAGTTATGAAAAAAACTGATGGAAAAACGTAGGATGTGCAAGCGGGATTTCGAAAGGGAATGAGGTGTACGGATCAAGTCTTTTTCATGCGCGTGATCGCGGAGAAGTTTCTGGTCAAAAACCACAAAGTATTTGTGCATTCATCGACTTGAAAAAGGCTATATGATAGAGTAGACAGGGATGTGTTATACAGGCGTTGGATTGATACAGGCATTAAAGTATCTTTATAGGGATTCTAGTGCTTGTGTTAGGATTAACGGGGCCTACTCGGACTGGTTCGGCAACCATAGAGGTGTCAGATAGGGCTGTGTGGCTTCCCGGTGGCTGTTCAACCTATTTATGGACAGTTGTTTGGAAACTTTGAAAGTTGAAGAATGTGTGTTAAGACTGGGTGAGTTAACCGTCAAATTACTATTGTGCGTCATATTTACGTCGTCGGCGGCCGAATTGCAAATGACGGTTACATTAATGAACAGGCTATTAAAAGAAAAGACGACGATGAGTAAAACGTCTCCCACACACAAGCGGCTTGCGGTAGCGGCCGTGGTGGCGGCCAGTTGTATTCAATTGCAATGTACGTGGCTACGTCGCAGCCTGCGAGCGACTGGCTGGCGTTGTTAGCGAGCGCGCACCTTATCGGTGCGGTGGTCGCAGCGCGGTCAGTTGCATATTTTTACAACAGGCCGCGAGTACCACGTGCAAAATGGCGCTAAATACAGAGATTTTAATAGAAACAGTGCAAAATTATGCAGTACTTTATGAGACTCCATACTGTGATTACAAAAGCATTAGGATTAAAAACAAAATATGGGATAATATTGTTTCATATAAGAGTAATAAGACATCGTCACGGTTATCCATGTTGACTGACGTCCGATCGTAGCACAGACACCACAGCGAATGGAGCTTCAGGCTGTCACTGCGACCGCGGTGGTGTGTTTTTGCAGCGACTGGAGCCGCGGGTTGCGTTTAGCTGCCACCGCAAGCCGCTTGTGTGTGGGAGTCTCTAAGACGAAGGTGATAGTTTTTGAGAGAGAAGAAAGTAAAACGATTTGTTAAATAGGAATAGAAGGCAGGTTGATTTAGTAAGTGGATGAGTTTGTGTATTTGGGATATGGTTTTAGCAGGGATCGTAGATATGATAAGGATATAGAACGGCGAGAGATCGCAGGAAGTAGAGTAAATGGGGCTCTTTACGCTATTGTGGGAAGTCAGAATCTGTAAAAACGGCACGGATGGCACTTCACAATGCTGTTTTAGTCCCAACCTTAATGTATGGCAGAGAAAGTTGGGTGTGGCAGAAGAAGCGCGATAGTACAATAAATGCTGTAGAAATGTGGTCATTAAGGGGCTTAATCTGAATGACAGGGTGAGAAATAGTGTGATAACATAAAAGTGTGGTTTACAAGATGACGTTGTGACCAGAATTAAGAAAGGAATGCTTCGGTGGTTTGGTCATGTAAAAAGAATGAACATGAATGGAAATATGTGATTGGAAGAATCGACAAGGGACACCCTAGACGAAAGTTTATCGACCAAATTGGCGATATATTGATGATGGGCCCGATTAGGAGTACCTTTAACCGACGAGCAAGTATGGATGCGATGCGAGAGAGGTGTGTGTTGATCGTGGCAAATGGAAGTCCGTAGTTTCTGCCTACCCCTCTGGGTGATAGGCGTGTGTTCATGTTTTATTTTTTTAAAGAATTAGGGTGACAAACGAGCGCACGGTCCGCCTGATGGTGAGTGGTTACTGTGGTCCATAGACATCTACATCTATCTTCGTTTGCGAATTAAAATGCAGATGCGTTGTCAACCGTGAGGGCTAATATAGAATCTCCTCTTTACCAGTAAAAAGAGTCTCCGGTTCTCTATACTCACCATACGAAACACAGCAGCATAAAGCTGCTATTTTACGCTGGTATTCTGTGAGAGCGTGGTCCTTCCCCGGTCGAGCCGACTCATTCGTGCTACAACTATGCTATTAATATAGCTGCAGCATGGCTCTACCACGTAATAGTTAAGTTTCTATGACCTTTTACTCTAAATGTAGCATTCCTAAATTCATTTGCGTTCTTATAAGTGCTTCATTGAACATTCGATTAATTTGACTTTATTCACTACTTCCGGCACTACCTATATTATTATATCAAAGGGCATCATAATTACGCTATCAAGTCATTAGCGATGCGTGATTTGGGATAATTGAATTTCTTATCGAATAAATAGGTTTAATATTATATCAATTAATGGTGTAACTGAATGATTGATTATGATTTGATGAGTATCATTCTTAATCGCTTATCTCTATCTAGATAGAGAAACTAGCTCGTATAATGCAGGTGTAATATCCTAGCTTTTGGGTAGTTAACCACGGTTTATTTCTATTCAATATAGCTTATTAATATGGGGTATTTCTATTGTGTTCTTATTTGGTTGGGATACATAATACTTATAAAAATATAGGTCCTATAAACAGAAATAGATTGAATAAATTATATATTTAATATAATTAATAATTTGATCCCAAACATACGGAAGCCTGAGGCTGAGGATTAGGGGGAAAGGGAAAGATATCTGTTGTAGAGGTTGTAGCAAGAATAGGTCG